CATCGATACTGGTGCCACTCGTCATGTGTGTTCCGACAAGGAGGTGTTCTCTGAATACACTCCTACTACGGGTCGGAAACTACACATGGGAAACTCCTCCACATCTGATGTGGCTGGAGTGGGCACGGTGGTGCTGAAGCTTACTTCTGGAAAGGAGTTGAAGCTGAAGGATGTTCTGCATGTCCCAGACATCCGCAAGAATTTGGTCTCCGGATCGCTTCTTGTTGAGCATGGATTTAGGCTGGTGTTTGAAGCTAAGAACTTTATTCTTAGCAAGAACGGAATATTCCTTGGTCGTGGTTATATCGACAAGGGATTGTTCAAAATGAATGTAATGGCCGTGAGGCGTGTAACCGTTAATAATAAAAACCCTATTTCTGTTTATACCGTTGAGTGTTCTGATATGTGGCATATTAGATTGGGGCATGTAAATCTAAATGCAATTAAACGGTTGATGAAACTAGAATTAATTCCTAATTCTAAAGTTGAAACAAATACAAAATGTGAAATTTGTATTGAAGCAAAAATGGCTAAGTTGCCTTTTCTCTCGGTGGAAAGAAGTACTGAACCATTAGGTTTAATCCATACTGATGTATGTGATATGAAAAGTGTGCAAACAAGAACCGGTAAAAAGTATTTTGTAACTTTTATCGATGATTGCACAAGGTTTTGCTACTTATATTTGTTAAGAAGCAAAGATGAGGCTGTGGAAGCATTTAAGATATATAAGACCGAAGTTGAAAATCAACTCGGCAAAAGGATTAAAATAATCCGAAGTGATAGGGGTGGGGAGTATGTATCTCCTTTTGAACAAATATGTTCTGAATATGGCATAATTCATCAAACGACGGCCCCTTATTCTCCACAGTCGAACGGTGTTGCTGAACGCAAAAACTGTACGTTAAAAGAAATGATGAATGCCATGTTGATTAATTCAGAATTACCACAGAACATGTGGGAGGAAGCTGTTTTGACAGCAAATCATATCCTGAATAAAATACCACCTAAAGGGAAAGATGAGACTCCTTACGAAATGTGGAAAAATCGTAAGCCGTCTTATAAATACCTGAAAGTGTGGGGGTGTTTGGCTAAGGTTTTAGTACCTGAACCAAAACAAATGAGAATCGGGCCAAAGACGGTCGATTGCGTATTTATTGGATATGCGTACAATAGTACAGCATATAAATTTCTGGTTCATAAATCAGAAAATCCAGAGGTATCTGTTGGTACCACGATTGAGTCAAGGAATGCTATATTCTTTGAGAATGTTTTTCCTATGAAGGAAAGGGCAGAATCTAGTTCTAGTAAAAGAACGTATGAAACTGCTAGGGGTTCTGTACCAGAGGGTACTAATGAAGAACCGAGACGTAGTAAAAGGGTAAAAACGGCTAAAACGTTTGGACCTGATTTTATTACGTACATGTTGGACGATGAACTGAGTTCCCTTAAGGAAGCTCTGTCCAGCCCAGATGGACCACTCTGGGAAGAAGCTGTAAATAGCGAAATTGAGTCCATTATGCAAAATCATACTTGGGAGTTGGTTGATCTCCCTGATGGTTGTAAACCTTTAGGATGCAAATGGATCCTAAAGAAAAAATATAAAGCTGATGGATCGATTGATAAGTTTAAAGCACGTTTGGTGGTCAAAGGCTTTAAACAAAAGGAAGGGTATGATTTCTTTGATACCTATTCACCTGTTACGCGTTTAGCGTCGATAAGAGTGCTTCTCTCGATTGCTGCTTTGCACAATCTTGAGATTCACCAAATGGATGTCAAGACGGCATTTTTGAATGGTGAATTGGAAGAAGAAATATACATGGAACAACCTGAAGGGTTTGTTGCACCTGGACAAGAGAGAAAGGTGTGTAGATTGATCAAATCCTTGTACGGACTGAAACAAGCTCCGAAACAATGGCATTTGAGATTTGATGACGTGATGTTGACAAATGATTTCAAAATCAACGAATGTGATAAATGTGTTTATGTCAAGGGTACATCAAATACATTTGTGATTGTATGTCTATATGTAGACGATATGTTGATCATGGAGAGTAGCCATGAAGTGATCATGGATACAAAAAGAATGTTGAAAAGAAATTTCGACATGAAAGATATGGGTTTGGCTGATGTTATTCTTGGAATAAGAATTATCAGAACCCAAGATGGAATTGTCTTGTCACAATCTCATTATGTAGAGAAAGTGCTCAAGAAATTTGATACCTATGACGGTGCACAGTCTAGGTGTAAGACACCCCTTGATCTCAGTATAAATCTGAAAGTCAACAAAGGTCAACCAGTGGCTCAGTTGGAATATTCACGGATAATAGGGAGTCTGATGTACTTGACGAATTGTACACGACCAGACTTGGCCTATCCGGTGAATAAGTTGAGCAGATTTACAAGCAATCCCAGTCATGAGCACTGGAATGCTTTGAAAAGGGTACTTAAGTACTTGAGGTACACCCTTGAATACGGGCTCAAATACTCAAGATATCCAGCCGTACTTGAAGGGTACTGCGATGCAAACTGGATATCAGATTCGAGAGATTCTCGCTCCACTAGCGGATATGTTTTCTGTATTGGAGGAGGTGCAGTTTCATGGAAATCCACAAAACAAACGTGTATAGCTCGGTCAACGATGGAATCAGAGTTCATCGCTTTAGATAAAGCTGGTGAAGAAGTCGAGTGGCTTAGAAATTTTTTATCTGATATTCCATGTTGGGATAAAACTTTGTCGTCTGTGATGATTCACTGTGATAGCCAAGCTGCTATAGGTAGGGCGCAAAGCAACTTGTATAACGGTAAGTCTAGACATATTCGTCGTAGACATAATACCGTACGTCAATTGATCACTAATGGTATTATTTCCATTGACTATGTGAAGTCTAAGGAAAATTTGGCTGATCCTTTGACGAAAGGATTGAATAGAGACCAATTGACAGTTTTGCTAGAGGGAATGGGCTTAAAAAACCACAATGTAAAGAATGATCATAGTGGTAACCCTACCATGCTGAGTGGAGATCCCACGAACTTCGTTCAAAGGGAAAACTAAGCTATGAAAATTTAGTTGAGCACTTGGAACATATGAATGTCCAAAGCTATTCCCTAGAGCACTCCAAGTGCAAGATTAACCTGTTGATTGTGGTGAGGGTAAGTCATATGGACTTTTAATGAATCCCTAACCTTGTAAAGGTGGAGTATGGCAGGATACTCTTGATAGGGAGGTCACCTATATAAGTGTGAAGTGTGGGCCGCTTCAAATGTAAACACTTATGAATCCATTGTGTTGTCCATGGCCAAAACGGACACAACGATAGAACGGAATGGAGTTAAGACTCTATTGTGTGAATGTCATTGTCTTGGTGTACACTATGGAGGAATAGTTCAAGGCATTATGTCCACTAGGCCGCCAGTGCATCCGATGATGTTTACTAAAAAAGGTTCAAAGCCAAAAGCTACCTTTTCTGATGCAATAGAATTTTGTGAGGATTGAGCACAAGAAGTTGTATATATGAGTATTTCTTTATTTTCTCTTTTGTGGGGGAATGTCAGAAAAGATAAAATAAAAGGGGCGGTGCCGCCCCACATGCACCGCCCCATATGCCAAGTGTTAATAAAAAAAAAAAAAATGTTAATATATTGCAAATTGAATTGCAATTGATCAGATTTGAATCTGTCATTCGCCTATAAATAGGCATACTCGGCAGAAGGAGAAGATACACCAAAGAAGAAGAGAAAAATAGAGGAAAGAAAAGATAGATTTATGTCCAAATATCGGATATAAAAAATATCAAAAGAGAGAAACAAGTGATCTTTTTACTTTTAGTGTGCTACAGATTTAGAGACGTTTGCCGTTGTATCTTTGGGGAAGTTACGCCTGAACCGTTAGCTGCCACACGGGGCGTATTCTTCTTGCGGAAAGAGTTTTACTCGCCTCGGCTAAAATCTTTCCGCTTTTCAGTTGTATTTTATTTTTCAGTTCAATTGTAATTTTCTATTTTAGATTATTTGTAAGAACTGAAAATACATATCAGTTCGTAGGATTCCCGTGTAATTTTGACACAAATTATCCAACACATATCTCATCCCATAATTTTTTTGCAGTTTCAGCATACATGAAACCACCCACAATATCCTTCGATAATTAGTTTAAGATCCAGGAAATTACCGTCCAATTTACCTTCTTCCATTTCTCGTAATCTGCATCTCCGACCTTCATTGGTTCAATTGTTCCATCTATGAATCCCAATTTTGTCTTCGCTCCTAATGCGATCATCATAGACCTTTTCCACGCCAGAAAGTTGGATCCATTCAGGGGATGTGAGACAAGCTGCAAACCTGGATGATCTGAACCGTGCAAAAAAAGGGGATTGTCGTCGCGACTTTCAGTAGTAACAGTAGCTCTCGCATTGAGCAGTGGCCAAGTCTCATTATATTGCCGATTGTTCGCCATTGTAGAGAGAATTGAGAAATTGTAGCGAGCTTAATAGGCTCTAGATACCATGTAGAAAATTCTCAGAAAATCGTAAAGAAATTTCAGCAAAAAATATATGGAACCAAACTTTCCATTTCTGTAAAATTCTCTTAGCTCAAAAGTGACGGGCACAATCATTAAATACCCGTGTCACCCATTTAACCCTCATATGCCCAAAACGACATAGTTTTGGGCAGCAACTAAAACAACAAAGAAAACGACATCGTTTGGGATAAAAGAAACGCAAGAAAAACTAAAAGAAAGCAACACACGATTTTAAAAGAAAAAACAGAACAATCAAGCTGTATGAAACCATGCAGTCCTGCTCTATCTTCATCATACTTCAACATCGGCGCACAAAGGGCAAACGGTACACACTTTCCGACTAACAAATGATGATACCTTCCACGATTTTGAAATCGAGGGCTGGATTGCCGCTCTCGTTTCCCGCAATGTCAGGAATATCAATATCTTTTCGTACTATTATGATGAGACCGTACGGTTTATGATGCACAATTGCCTGTTAATGTGTGAAACCCTAGTGGAATTGCGTATCGGTGCTTATGTAGTGCTCCCGGCGGCCGGCGATGTGTGCCTGCCGGCACTTAAGAGGCTTTATCTTAAGGGGGCTGAATCCTTGCCCCGCCTGATATCTGGCTGCCCAGTGCTTGAGGAGCTTAGCATAGTTAATAAAAATACGGCCCAAAATTTGGAGATTTGTTCGCCAACGCTACTTAGGCTGGAGCTCAATATACAACCTGATGACCATGGAATTGATGGAAACAAGTACTTTTGGGTGAAGCTACTTACTCCGGCGCTTAGGTTTTTAAACATGATCGAGTATGTTTTCGATAATATCTCTACCGGGAGACTTGGTTCATTGGCGGTGGCAAATGTTTCTCTCGGATGTGAATCTCGCTTTAAGTTAGAATTTGTGGGCAAGCTGTGTAATGTGGGGAGTCTAGATTTATGTCATGGAGTGATGGAGGTAAGAGTTTGATTAATTTGTTTGTGATTTCTGGTTGTTGGCTTTCCGTTTCATGACCGCCTTTTCTTTTCTTTTCTTTTTTCCTCCTTGCAGATTTCCGACTCTACATTCTCTGCTCTGACTGGGAAGTTTCATAATTTAACCAAACTCACATTGAGTGCAGACTGGCGTTTTCTCTCGTTTTTTCTTGCGAACGCTGATAATCTTCAAGTCCTTACGATCCGTGTAATTGTTTGTCAGCTTTTCTTTTTGTTTAGTCTTTAATCAATGGCTTTCTTCCTTTTTGTGTCTCTAATGGGAGTGAAGGGGCTTCTGACCATTCCCTTTTTCTCTATCTACTTCAGGGATGTGGTAATATCAAAGAATGGAGGGAGCCCCACCAAGTTCCGACGTGTCTATCATCGCATCTCAAAACTGTGGCGATCGAGCCATACGAGTGCACGGAGGAATGGTTATTCATAAGTTATGTTCTGAGAAATGCTGAAGTCCTGAAGTTGATGAAGGTTATCAAGCTTCCTTACTATCCATGCAAAGATTTGGTGTTTGATGCGCTCAAGAGAAGAATTTTACAGTTGCAGCCAGGTTCTACGGAATGCGAGATTAAGTTCCTAGAGAGGGATGTGAATAATAATACCAAAGAGCTGCTTTAGTTTTAGTGATATCTATCTTGCTCTATACGCTCACCTTCTCATGTGAAGAATTGTTTACACGCTGTTTGGTTTCATTTAGAAATTGGTTTACTCTCCTCCATGCAAACTATAAACGAATAGAACTCTTTTCTTTGTTTCGAATCAGTTTTTCCTTTTTTCTTTTTCATTTTATGATGCCCAGTTACTCTGTTTTCATTTGGGATGTTGGCTATGCATAAATTTAGATGCATAAAACTCTGTACATATCTCTTCTCTTTTTTGAACTTTGTTGATTGTCTTTACGAAGTGAAGGACCTCTGTTTTGCCGCATGTAAACTTTGAGTTTGTTCTCGGCCGAACATCAGATACGACAATAGATGTTTTCGCGGTTTCTTTTTTTTTTTCTTTTTTTTTTAGTAGCATTTGCTGATTATGAATTTGTACAGGATGTACTTTAATTCATCACTGTAGGCCTTCAGTGCTCAAACTAGATTTGTTTTGAGAATAAGATGCTCTGTTTGGAGTTGTATATTACACAACTCGATACTATCATATAAAGTTCCATATATTTAATTTATTTCAAAATCATCGTTCCTGTTTGATCAAACATAATGAAAGTTCTTGGTAGTTCAACAATTACATGGAAGTAAATATATTTTAACTATTATTTGGAGATGAAGCTATTATTGTGCTCGTTGAATTCATCGGCCTTCACTTTGTTGGGAAAATGTCCGACTCTCTTCATCACCACAACTTCTTCTAGACAAGGAATAAGCATCTTGTAGCTTTTAGGCTCTATTGTCTCTTTCGCGCCTGGATAATGGTACGTCATGTCATTTTCGCCAATCAAGAACTTGACGGGCACTTCAATTCCTGCTCCAAGGTGTCAACTCCCAACTCCTGCATGAAAATGAAAAGGTAAGTAAGTAATACAGAGTTAACAATTCCTTTTTGGAAATCCGATTGTCCGTTCGTTCATCGATTAGCTTCGCATACGAAACATGCTATGGAACATACAAGTCTAGCGCTCGATAATAGTTCAATCATCCCATGAAGTTAGTTTTCTCGAACTTAGAAGCAAAATATTCTTTATCCTCTTGAGTGAGCCATGAGGGCAATGCCGTTTGAGGACATTCGAAAAACACGGCTATGCTCGTGTTGGTGGGTATAGCTAATGGTTCTGGCTGAAATTTGATCATGAATGTTTTTTTGTTATAATCGCAATGTTTCCGGAAACATCAAATATATTATATTCAACTTGTTAATGCAAATAATTCATGAACTTTTTCAATAGTAGAAAATATTGAGCTCATGAGCGGCTCGTTTCGAAAACCTGGAATCTGCAGATGTAGAAACCGTCAGTAAGCGCTTTTGCGTAGGACTCGACAGGTTTAGCCAGCGGATTTTTGGAATTGAAAAAGATGTTGTTGACTATGGCGGGGCCTCATCATACATAGCAGCCAGCCAGGTGAGGCTAGTGCCATTGTCGAGGACGATGAGAACATGTTCAGATTCATTTACTCCAAGGAATTCCTCAGGTAGGCCCTATGCCCCCCGGGCCTTTTCAAATCCGAGAAAAATTCAAAATTAGTCCCACAGGTATAGGGGGGTGACAATTTTGGTCCCAACGGAATGCAAAAAAAAAATAAATAGTCCCACAACTTTTTAAAAATGATCAAAAGTAGGACTTTTTGTCGGATTTTACTGTTTCCGATCCGGAATGCCACGTGGCGCACACGTTGCATATTTTGTTGCATATTTTATGCATACTTGTGGGACCAAAAATGTCACATTCCTATACCTGTGGGACCAAAAATGTCTCTCTCTATACCTTTGGGACTAGTTTTGATTTTTTTCATATCCACGTCGGATGCCAGCGTGTAGAAAATATATGCCACGTGTGCGCCACGTGGCATTCCGGGCCGAAAACAGTAAAATTCGGCAAAAAGTCATATTTTTGATCATTTTTTAAAAGTTGTAGGACTATTTATATTTTTTGCATTTCGTTGGGACAAAAAATGTCACCCCCTATACTTGTGGGACTAGTTTTGAATTTTTCCCTTTCAAGTCCTGGCACATCGGAGTTCGTGCCAAGGCCTCGAAAAAGCTGGTCTCTTTCATAACCGGGATCCCCGCAAGAATCCGAGCCCGCGACTCGGTCGTTTTAATGGCCGAGGTGAATTTTTTGTGTGTGCACAAGAAGCTCAGGTCAAAACGGCTGGCCCCAGTTATGATAAAGGAAGTCACTCGTAGGGTCCACTTAGAGAACATCTGGCAAGCGGCTTACACTGCTGGTATTGTTCTCCCGACACCAATCGCGACTTGTCAGTATTGGCACAGGTCACTGAACCCGAAAAAGCTCATCGATGTCGGTTTTTCGAGGCTCGGGGCACGAATGACTATGAGCCGCACGATCAAGCTGTTCAAGCTGCCCGATCAGACGGTGACTCCCAGGTTCAGGAAAATGGAGACCCACGACGTGCCAGCTGTCACCCGTTTGCTCCGGGACTACTTGAAGCAGTTTGTTGTGGCGCCCGATTTCGACGAGAATGATGTCGAGCACTGGCTGCTGCCTAAGGAAGGCGCTGTGGATAGTTTTCTGGTCGAGAGCCCTGAAACTCATCGGATCACCGATTTTTGCAGTTTCTACACTCTCGAGTCGTCTATACTCGGCAGCCCGAACCACTCGATTCTCAACGCGGCTTATTCTTACTATAATGTGGCTACCGCGACTCCTTTGCTTCAGCTGATGAACGATGCGTTGATTGTTGCCAAGAAGAAGGATTTCGATGTTTTTAATTCTTTTGATGTGATGCATAACGAGAGCTTCTTGAAGGAGCTCAAGTTTGGCCCGGGGGATGGGAAGCTCCACTACTATCTGTACAACTATCGGCTCAAGCATGTTCTCAAGGCATCCGAGCTCGGGCTCGTGCTCTTGTAGGTTTGGGGGTTGCCTTTTTTTTTTT